AGCATAGGAACATGTAGGATCCACAATTTTTAAGGTCATCACATTAGTTTGTATTTATGAAACTATAAGAAAACAGATGTGTGTCATGTTTGACACTGCTGCTTTGAATGCAATACTTCCAAATAATGAAGCTGACCACAACAAAGAAGGGAAAAGTAATTCAGACATTTCACAGAGGCCTTATTTGGAATATAAACGCTTTGCTAGGGAAAGAAAGACGAAATATTTTAAACAATTTCAAGATTAAAGAGGAAAGTTAATGGGAGGAGGGCAACAGCAGGAGGGAAGGACGTGCTTAAAAGAAACAAATCTGCATAGATGATGAACTGAATTTAATTCAATTCATTCCTGCCTAAAACTAAGCCTGGTTAACTGAGGTAGACTCTGGGAATTACACGTGCAAAGATCAGGTTTTCCAAAGGGCAATATTTTGTCATTTCAGATATGGTAAAGTAAAAGTGCATTTTATAGTTTCAAATAATCAAATGGGAGTCCTTTTATAGGAGGGAAACTTCTCTATACTAATTCCCTATTTTTTTGTGCCAAATTTTCAAATATACAAAAACCTACACACTGCTGGTAATAAAGCAATATCCAGGGTTTTTTCATTTATTTTCTCAGGAAACGAGAAAAGTAAAATAAATTTTATGACATTACCTAAACATCTTTCCTGTTTTTATTAATAAGTCACTGGGAATTCAGAAATAACATTAAAGCTAAAGAGTTGTCTGCAGCCAAAAAACCCAATAACAATTCAAAGATCTATTTGTTAATGAGGTGAATGTTTAAAAATATACCTACTATCCTAAGAATTTGATTATTAAAATACACAATTTCCACATTAAGAAACAAATATTAAAAGCAAATGTCAAAAAAATTAAATAAGTACGAAAAGCCAAATTTAAAAGTATAAATAAGTAAACTTACAATAATCACAACAGAGTTTTTAGCTTTCTGTAAAAATAGTTAGTGGAGATGAGACTAAAACATTTGAAGCTTAAATATTTTTATCCCCCTAACATGTCCCCCAACTATAATTTCTTTTTTCTATTGTGACATATTCTTAGGTTCACATAAATATTATGTGCATCACAAATTAAGTGGTTTCTTAAAAATATACAATCAAAACACTTAAAGAAAAAAAAGATACATAAAAGAGAATAGTTAGGACTTTTCCCTCATACGAGTTAAGGTGGCCTTTTCTTGGAAAAGGCCAGCATTCACCCTTAACATTTTATGCCTGTTATACAGAATATACCCTAAAGTGATTTATCATTAATAAGATAAAACTTATCTTAAGAGTGGGAATCCACTATTAGGCAGAGAAAGACTCAATAACCTAGGCAATATTGAAGGAACCAAAGTCCACTCACACAACATGAAATATTTGCCTAGGTCCTTCATTTTATCTCATGTTAGGGTGGGGAGAAAGTGAATCATAGCTACCTCAGCTGGTTACTGTTTTATGATTCTCATCACAGATTTAGCAGTGTATATAAAAACTTATTCCTAAGGAAGGAATTCAAATGAACTCAGGCTATCCAAAACTTAGAGTACTAACAATTTTATGTTCAACAGAGTCAGGCTACATAAAGCAAAGTCAAATAATGACAATCATACTGTAAATTTGGGTTGTACACACACATTTTCCCCTGGTGTATGTGTATGACCATAGATTCACCAGGTATTGGTTTGCTTACTTTTTGAGCAATTCGTGCTCTAAGCCTACGTTTTGAGAGTGAAATATGACTTCCCAAAAACTGTGATCTCAGAAGCTGAAATTAAGCCCCAAGCTATAGAGCTAGACCACCACGTTTTCCCCTTCCAAAATGGCTCGGTATTGTGGGAGGTAGTGGTCAGATCCAAAAGTGTGTAGATACAGTCTGTGATGCCACCATCTATTGTCTACTTGGATCACTAGAAGGTTGCAGCTTCCATTAAAGAGGTGTTTGATATATTTCACTAATATTAATTTCCTTTAAAAAAAGAAATTACGGGGCAAAAGGTTTAAACATGTTATGCTTATAATAGGCAGCTTGGGAAATGGTAAAAATTGTTCATTAAAATAGATCCATAATAGTTACACACTATTCAAACAAATGGATATCAGTTCTAATTTCAAAACAGATTTAAAGTGCTAAAAGGAGGGGGAAAAAACTTTTATATATTATTTTTCCAAAGTGCAAACAGATTACTATGCCTCTCCATCAGTGATCTTGTTTCAGTAGTAGAAGCCAGAAGCTATATAGAGCCGTTAGAGAAACTGCCAAGTTGGAACTGTACTCCCTAGTCCAGCTTTGTCTTGGTCCACAGAGCTCCCACCCACTGTGTCTTGGACCAACCAGTACACATCTACAGAATGTAGGGACTATCTGATCAGATATCAGGAAAGCAGACTTAGCTTAGTCCTACAGTCATTGTGCTGCAGAACTCAAAATACTCATGTTTTCAGAGGAATTAAAGGAGCCAAATATTTTTCCTTTGATAATGCATCTGCTACCGCAACACAGAATAACAAAACAAAACGAAGCAAAACAATTCAATCTCATTCTGGGTAAGGCAACACACTGTCTTCTGCAATAAAGACAGTCTGTGTGTGTGTGTGTGTGTGATGTACGTTAAAAGGGCTGGGCAGAGTGGCTCACACCTGTAATCCAAGCACTCATTCTGGGTAAGGCAATGCACTGTCTTCTGCAATAAAGACTGTGTGTGTGTGTGTGTGTGTGTCTCTCATGCCTATAAGGCAACACACTGTCTTCTGCAATAAAGACTCTGTATGTGTGTGTGTGTATGTATGTCTGTCTCACGCCCGTAATCCTAAAACTCATTCTGGGTAACGCAACACACTGTCTTCTGAAATAAAGAGAGTGTGTGTGTGTGTGTGTGTGTGTGTGTGTGTGTGTTGTACATTAAAAGTTGGGGCCAGGAGCAGTGGCTCACGCCTGTAATCCCAGCACTTTGGGAGGCCGATGTGGGTGGATCACCTGAGGTCAGGAGTGCGAGACTAGCCTGGCCAACATGGTGAAACTCTGTCTCTACTAAAAGTACAAAAAAATAAGCCGGGCGTGGTGGCACCTGTATTCCCAGCTACTCAGGAGGCCGAGGCAGGAGAATGGATTGAACCTGGGAGGCAGAGGTTGCAGTGAGCCGAGATCACGTCACTGCACTCCAGCCTGGGGGACAGAGCAAGATTCCGTCTCAAAATAAAATAAAATAAAATAAAAATAAAAAAATAAAATAGAATAAAATAATTAAAATAAAATAAAATAAAATAAAAGTTAAATAGAACACCTGAGGGATGTCTTTAAGATCCTTTAAGGGATTTGAGACATACAAAGCATTTACCATCCACTGATAGGGCAAAATGAGAAACAAGGGAAATACAAAGCCCAGCTGACTCACTTAACATGGTCAAGATAAGCTCCTAGGAAGTCTGAGTCGCCAAATACTGAATAACTGGTATTAAAAGAAACACAATTACTATGTCATTATCCATGAATTCAGAAAAATAATTAAATGCACACCAAGATAATTAATAAGAAACCCAGAAAAGGTCTCACTAATCAACTATTGTTAGGCTGGTGCAAAAGTAATTGCGGTTTTTGCCATTGAAAGTAATGGAAAAACCACAATTACTTTTGCACCAGCCCAATACAAACAAGTTTTAACAATCACAAGACTAATGTTTTAGTGATGGCTCCTACAACTTCAGGGGAAAAAAAGTACATTTCTGAATGGCAATCGTTTGCAAAATAATCTCAATGAAACTACTTATTTCTTTATTTTAAAAGTTAATAAAAGGAAACTTCTCTCAGTTTTTAGGAAGAATTCAATTACAATAAAATCATGATGTCTTATGATCTGGCATCTTATAATCTGTGTCTCAGAAAGAAGGGCAATTTACAGCATCAGATGAATACTGGAGTTTAGAGTCAGACTTAAGTTATCTGAAAAGAACATAAGGCATTTATAGTTTTTAGCAGGGAAAAATAATCAATCTCTTTTTAAAAAAAAAAAAAACCTTCTTAGTATCTTGATTAAGTGTCCAAAAAGCTGTATTATTTTTAGTTTTAAACCAGTAGGTGCTATTCAAAACTGATAATTCAGGATGTTATCAAATACAAAGTTTTAAAAGCTTGACCATTAAAGCATAAATTGCCTAATAAGACACATGTAATCATAAAAACTAACGCCAGGATCATTTACTTGTGATTGGATATATGCCATTCACTTTTTCTGGCTTCTTTCTAAGGTGTAATTCCTGCTGCATTGAGTGAGCATGTCAGATTTCTATCCTTATCTTACTGTGTGTAAAAGTTCTCAATCTAGACAAGGACAAATTTTAGAATTTTTAAATGAACATCATTCGTTACGTACAATGCTGTTTTGTTAAACTAGCTGTCTGGAATACTATAAAGATTTCATTTGTTTTATGTTAGCCACAGAGAATGGACTTGTTTAGAACGCAAAAGTATTTATCTCAAATACTAAAATCAAATTCAACAAAAATCAAACAATGTTGGAGCTGAGAAAAATAACGGCTATACATCTGTTTGAACATATTGAAAGAAAAGTGAAAACACAGCCAGGCATGCTGGTGCGCACCTATAATCCCAGCAACTTGGGAGGCTGAGACAGGAGAATTGCTTGAATCTAGGAGGCCGAGGTTGCAGTGAGCCAAGATCGTGCCACTGCACCACACAGCCCGGGTGACAGAGTAAGACTCCTTCACACACACAAGAAAAGTGAAAACAAACTTGGAAGTCCAGAATGAAGAATTACATCTAATGCAATATTCTTCCCACCTTTCCATATTAAGAAGCACCAGCAAAAAAATACTAAAGACAGAGAAATGACCTGGCAAAATGATTCAAATACCACAGAGCGTGAGAATATTCCTCAATAAAGCTCAAGACGTTATTAAGTAGCTAGTAGAATAAATGGCAGCGGGAGGGGAAGTAAAAATTCTAACCATATGACAGACTCCTAACAGTAAGTCATAAATTCTAAAGGTTTAATCAGTAAATTATTTCCTCCAAAATATACTGTCATTCTTCTCTTAACAATAAATACAGAGTGTGACACAAATCCAATTTTGATGTTAAAAGTCAACCTGTATAGATAGGTCCCTCATGTTGACAGAGCAAAGAAGTGGAAAAAAACAAAAACAAAAACAAAGAAAAACAACTGCAAATGAGAAATAGGGGTATTTCTAAATCTTCTGTAAACAAGTTTCTAAAATAGCACACTGCTCCCTCTCTTCAGCCTCCCTGATAGACTGGTTTGGGTGTGCAATATTAATGCAGGAATACGTGGAATACCAGTACAAAGCCAGGGAAGGGAGACTAGCAAACTCTCGCCCTGAATTATTTCTCAACTACATTTAGTATTCTTCACAGTTTTAGATGTTTTTTTTTCCTTTAAGTGAAAATCACTCCACTGAAAAAAATTCCAAATCTGTTTTTTAAAAATTGCAGGAATTTCTTCATATTTTATAAACAAAAATACCAGAAATTAAAGAGTTGACAGAAATTCAAGCAGATCCAAATTCAACCATCCATTTTTCATACTTCTCCAAGTCTGCAGCAGAGACAGACTTAGCAATTTTCTTTAGGGCCAATTCAAAGTCTCCTTTGGTAACAGGCATCTGAAGTTCCTCTTTAGAAAGTGCACGGATCTCTTCAGGACCTAAGCCATTGATACGCCGTCTCATTGCCATTAAAGAGGCATCCCTAAAAATACACCACAATCAGTCAACAGTAATTTTTGCACATGTTTTAAACACTTTCAATTGTAACAAAGTTATGAAAAAACAATCAAAAGATTATATGTTTTCTATGAGGCTTCTTAGAATTTTCCACTTAAGAAACATCCTGGGGGTTCGGCAGAAGTTAAAACAGGATGCAAATAACCAGAAACATGAAATGTACAGTTAATGAACCCTAAAAGTCTAAGTTAAGCTCAAACAGTACTGAATTATATTTTCCCACTTGCTCCTCAAAGACAGCCAAGAAGTTTAAGAAACCAAAGTCGAATTTTGAAATACTGAATTGTACACTTGGAAATGAACACGTGGCTAATGTTAAGATAATTCAAATCACAGACCAGTTTGTCTACAGCCTAAATAGAGGAATAAAGCCACAAATCACTCTCTCTGAAACATGAATATCCACATACAGTGGACACGGAATTCCCTACATGGAGTATTTGCAGGCAACTAAAGGCATAAACTCTGGCTTCTCTTGATCCCATGTGCAGCTCTTTTTGACCAACATAAATATGACCATCATAAATATGAAGGTATGGAAGAAAAGGATAATTCATAAACACAAAAAAGCTATTAGGAAGGCCAAGCCAACAAAAATGTCAAGTTCTTAAATATTTCACTATAGTAGCAGTAGAAACTATTGTGACTTTATTGTATGACACTAAACTTGGATGCACATGGGAAAAATGCGAGCAGAAAAGGTGAGAAAAACAGATGCTACAGCTTTAAAGAAAGGCTACTAAAGTCAATTTAAGTACAGTTAGAAAAATAAGGAAAAAAATAACTGCACAGAGTGACAGGAGGTGTCTAAAAATTATGATGTCGCTAAACTGAAAAAATGTTAAATGTGTATCTTCCCCAGCTTACACTGATCATTTTTGCTCATCGGCATGTGTTTAAATAATGCCAACCAAAACTAAATAATATTACTTTATGTTGATGTAGAAAGGTTCCAACACAAAGCTAAACTAATCTTAGGATGTCAAAGTCGTTATCATCAAGTTAGACACAACAGTTTTTTTTTTTTTTGCGACGGAGTCTCGCTGTCTCCCAGGCTGGAGTGCCGTGGCACCATCGCAGCTCGCTACAAGCTCCGCCTCCCGGGTTCACGCCATTCTCCTGCCTCAGCCTCCCGAGTAGCTGGGACTACAGGCGCCCGCCACCACGCCCAGCTAATATTTTGTATTTTTAGTAGAGACGGGATTTCACTGTGTTAGCCAATATAGTCTCGACCTCCTGACCTCGTGATCTGCCTGCCTCAGTCTCCCAAAGTGCTGGGCTTACAGGCGCGAGCCACCGACACAACAATTTCTTAAAAATCCAAAGATCAAAAACATCAGTGACCAATGCTATATAATTTTCATCTCACAATGAAGAAAAAAGTTATATGGAAAAAAAAAAAAAGGACAAATGGGAAACTATTTCAAAGAAACGGGTAGCTGCTTTCATGTCTAACTACACTGGGTTAACTACACTGACTTTAAGACTAGTCCTCCTGCCAAGTCTATAACTAATGTCTAACATCACAGATCATTAAAAAAATACCTGCAAACATTAGTGATGTCAGCACCAGAATAGCCCTCAATCTTCTCGGCTATATCTTCCAGTTGAATATCAGGATCTAATTCGACCTCACGAAGGTTGATCTTCAGAAGCTCGGCTCTTCCTTTTGCTGTTACAAGATTTTGGTGGTGTTGTTAGATGTTTTACTTTACAAATAATTTTGCTGAGAAATGACATATTAACATTCAGGGGGAAAAATGAGGCCAATGCAAAGAAGAGTCAATAACTGTGTATCCATTAGTATTATTACCAATTCACTGCATGACTCATGGAATCATTTAAATTCCTATGTGCCTCTGTAGCAGTAACTAAAAATTGAAAAAAACAAAAAACAAAAATCAAAAACAAAAACAAAAACCACCTGGGTTTTCTTTATAGACTGTGACGATATCTACTATGAGAACAAAGAATCTCAGATCCTTCACGAAAAATATAAATATCAGTTTTCAGGCACCGGAAACGCTTCTCAAAAAAAAAAAACAAAACAAAACTTAGCCTGGTGTTAGAAAATTAGACTGCATCAAGTGTAACTCCTATGAATTACTTTGTTCACCTGTTAGTATGACATGGATCTCCAGAACTCTTATCAGTAGTTTAAAGAACATTTCCTGAAAATCAGTAATTGGCACAAAAAGCTCATTAATGTATTTTTTACTTGGAGAGCCAGCCCACAGACATGTGCTGTTCCAGTATGATTTAAATGTGAACTGAATAAGTTCAAACATACTCAGAATTTTTAAAATAACCAATCACGCTTGACATTTCAGTAGTGCTTTTAGTAGCAAATATGCTTAGCACAGCACACTAAGATAAAGCATTACTAGTTTATCTGGCACTCTACTATTTCCTGAGATACAAAACGAAATTTAATTCTCTTCTACTTTTATTTTGAAAAATGCTAAATCTACAGAAAAAGAAAATCAATGAATACCCATTTGCCTTTCACTGAGATTCACCAATTGCTAACATTTTGCCATTATCACTCTAGCTGCCTCCTCATCTCTCCTTCCTCAACTTTTTGAATTGAGCGCTAGCTGTAGGCATCACAACACTTCAGCTTAAATTCCCCAACATGTATCTCCTAAGAAAAAAGGTAGACATAACATTTCTCACCCTTATCAGGAGATTTCATACTGGAACATTAGTGTCTAATACACAATTCAAAGCAAAGTCTCCCCATTTGTCCCAAGCCTTTATAACTTTTACAAACCATAACACATGGCATTCGGTTACCATGTCTCATTCATCTTCTTTCATCTAAAACAGTTTCCCAGTGTTTACTTTTTGGTTCATTTTGTTTTGTCTTTCATGAAATTGACAATTCTCCCCCAAATGATCTTATACAGCCAACACATTCCAATAAAGATCCTCCTAAAAGGTCTCTCTGTAGAAACTAATGGGCAGATACCAAAATGCCCACAGAAATGGAAAGAACCAAGAACAACCAAGATGCTCTGGAAGAGCAACAGCAAAGTGGAAAGCATTGCTCTATCAGATTTCAAGACTTACTACAAAGGTATAGGACTCAAAGCAGATTGACGCTCTTGTGGAAAGAGACAGATAGATCAACAGTACAGAACGGGGTGCCCAGCAGCAGACCGAAGCAGAACTATAGACACTTAATTTATGACAAAGCGGTTCAGGCCGCGAGGGGAAGGAGTGTCTTTTCAATTAATGATGCAAGAACAGCTGACTATCCACAGCGAAAAAAAATGAAATCAGGTCCTACATCATACTGTACCCAAAAATCAGTGCCAGATATATTACATCTAAACGTAAAGTTGTAAGTATTTTATAAGATAACATAGAAGAATATCTGAATGACCTCAGGGAAGCATTCTCAAGACATATATTTCAAAAAATCAACTAGGAAAAGACTGATAAACTGACCACATTAAAATGAGGAACTTCTATTCATCAAAAAGATCCTGTCAACACAGTGAAAACAGATGTTACAGAGTTTGAGAAGATATCTGTAACATACATAAGCAACCAAAGACTTGTATCAAGAATATTTCAGGAATTCCTAAAAATCAGCAAGAAAAAGACTACCCAAGAGCCAGAGTGCCTGGCTACGCACAGTGGGCAGACCCCAGTGCTTGCGTGTTCACGTACCCCTCACCGCTCTGTGCCTGGCTTGCCCTTGGCCGGCGTGGAATCAGGGCCGGTAGCTCTAGCCAAGCACAGCCTGCCAGGGCAAGTGGGCGGAACGCTGGGCTCAAGCAAAACTCCAGCAAAGGCGCCACCAAGGATCCTGCAACACAAGCACTTTGGAAGACACACTGAATTCATCTAATACTGCAGCCGTGCAGCACTACCTAGCAATTCACTCCTAGGATGGAATGCTCCATTCTGGCATGCTTACCACTATACATGTATGAAAATGTTCACAATAGTACTGCTCATAATAGCCTAAAGCAAGAAATAACTAAAAAGTCCACCAAATAATATGATGGATACATTTTGATATAATCATATAATAGATGGTATGGGTTAAACCATGTCCCTCAAAATTTTTAGGCAACTCCTAACCCCCAGTACTTCAGAATGTAACTGTATTTAGAGACAGGAGAGGTAATTAAGGTAAAATGAGCTCATATGGGTGGGCTCTAACCCAACATGACTGGTGTCCTTACAAGAAGAAGCTATTAGGATACAAATACCCCTAAGAGGAAGACCACATGAAGACTACGGGACAAGACGGCCACCTACAGACCAAGGAAAGAGACCCCAGAGTGCAACCACCCTGCCTACAGCTTCGTCTTATGCTTCTAGCTTCCAGTACTGTGAGAAAATTAACTTCTGTTGTTTAAGCCACCCAATCTTTGGTATTTGTTACGGCAGCCCTAGCAAACGAATATGACAGAATACCAATCACACAGCAACAAAAATGAATGAGGTGGCATCTATATGTGGTAACATGAATGAATCTTAAAATACATTGAACAAAAGAGGCAAGATACAAA